GATATATTTCAAAAAGCTTAAAAGTTACACAACCCAAAACTCACATCATGCATTTTCTGACTGAGCTAAATGTTTTGCTGTATGAACAACACAAACAGCACAAAGTAGGCAGATGAAGTTTGATAAAAATTAATAAAGATAAATTATAAAACGGGGGGGAAAAAATCCTTGTTTCTTCACATAAACTGATAAAACAAACACCTTCCAGAGTGGAGTTAAACTGTCTAAACTGTCATTTGTAGGAGTTCATGTGGAACTAGCTTTATGAAAACAAATGTAGCTGTGTGTTACGCCTCTGAAGGAGACAAATATGAACTCAAACAGTAGAAATATGTCACTGAGTGGTTCTGCTTGTTTTCATTCCTGCACAGATCTCTTCTCTTACTGGCGTTTCCCTCAGGCCAGCAATTTAAAACAGTTTCTGTCTGCACAACATCTTCAATCTGAACTACTGAACATTAACTTCTCAAAATCATGATTTCAGTGCAGCCATGAGACCAAGAACTGAACATAAGGTCAGAATGATAGCACTTCTCTTTTTTTTTAGGTGGTTCTGAGCAAATCTGCTTCATCTCAGGCCTGATGGGAGTTTTCCTGTGTGACTCGGGGATGGTGTAACAACTTGTCTCGTGGCTGCACAAACATACCATATCTGCTATCAAAGGAGGAATTTCCACTCATCATGTTTACATAAACTATTTTAGGAACTTTGCCACATTCTGCTGGAATCGCTCTTTAGAAATGTATTTAATCTCGCCACCATTCTAAAATCATTGCGCCTGGTTTGGCAGGACTCTGTCCTGACTCGCTCATTTGGGTAAATTGTATCTCAGTACTCGGAGAGGAACTACAAAACAGATCTCAGACCAGTCTCAGCTTGTTGTGCCGTTTACTCTGCAGTGTGATGGGGCGGTGCCAGTGAGCCTGGTGGGGTAATCCCAGGAAACCAACAAACATGTTACTGAAGTGCTGCTGGAAGAACTTGAGATTGCTCTGCTGCTCTAAAAATCAAAGTCAGTCATGTTGTCTTGTGTGTGGACACAGTGTCTCTGCAGCTTACTGTAAATATCTGCCTGAACAGTCCAGCATTGAAAGTCAGCACAGTAATTCTCCTGATTAATTCGTTCACCTTTCTGCTCATTTTTCCTTCATTAAGTTAAAGGACGGTTCGCCTGCCCCCTTCTTAACGACCGGTAGTGACATAATTCAGTTTGTCCGTTAACCTGCAGGCTCTTTAGTGAGTGTTGTGCCATCTGTGTTGCCAGATTACCGTGGAAAAATGCAGTAAAACAGGTTTTTACGGTGCTATTTGTGAATGAATAAAAGTGGCTTTGTGTCCTTTAAAAAAAGAAGTTTGACTCAGATTTCAGGTTGTGGAAGATTGGTTTTGTGCCGCAGTAAACTGTATCTTTTTTTTTTTTTTTTTTTTTGGAGTTGCTGAAGCAACCGTGTCTGAAGTCGCGCTCCTGCACAGGGGTGTGAGATTTAGTGCTGCGGTGAGAATCCCCAGAGAGCTCGGGTCGTGCTCTGAATGCAAACGTGTAGTTTGAGTTGCATGTAGTTTTACTCTAACATTATTCAATAGTTTGTGTTGACATCTAGTTAGTCTTTGCGCTGCTGCTGGTTAAACATTTGGCCTTTGAAAAGATGCAAGGGTTCCTGCACGTATTAAAAAAAAAACTTCACTTCTTACACAGAAAGGCTTTTCAGTGTAAAACCTGTTTTCTTTTCTCTTACCCCTGGGTCCAAATATGGAATATGGAAACAATGAACCTTTACAAATATTGAAGCAGCCACACCCAGAGAGGTTCAGGCTTTCTTTCCACTGACTGCCCTCTGCTGGAGCCTCGTCTCAAGTTTCTGTGATTTACAAAGAATAAAACTCTTCAACGATTACATTAATTCTGACCATGTTCATTTTAAAACGAATCTTTAAAAAAAATCTATAATAGATAATGAAATTGAATTGATGAAATGATAATGAAGACTGTTAACTTTGGAATTGGTGTATTTTTGTATTTTTAATTCCTGTGTGTTTCGAAGTATTTTGTCATTGCTTGTAAAATGTTATTATTGAGATGGTTGATCTGAATTTTTATATTGTTGATTTGTTTTTATCTTACGTGTTTTATTGTGTATTTTTTTGTCTGTTTGTAAAAGCACGATTTAATTGCATTGTTTTTGGCGTGGACCCCAGGAAGAATAGTCTCTACTACAGTACAAACGAATGGGGATCCTTAAATAAACAAGTAAACAAACAATCATACATTAAATCAGAAAGTTATAAATAAATGTCCAATTTTAAACAACTAAATTTACAACTATTTGCTCATATTTAATCTCTAATTGACATATTTTCACTTTAAAACAAGTGTTGACATTTTTTTTTTATTTACTTTATAATATATAAGAATAAGAAACTCAAGAACATAGAATAAATAAATATTAGGTCATAAGGAATAAATTTGAGAGTGGTGGTGCACAGGTTAGAGAAGATGGGCCTATGATCCGAAAGTTGTAGGTTCAACTCCCTGTACCGTCAACATCAAAATGTGGGTGGAAAAGGTGAAGCACCCACACCTGCCTCCGCCCTCATTGGCCCCACTCTGGGCCCCTGAGCAAGGCCCTCAACCCCCACCATCTGCTCCCTAAACAGGTCTCTCTTGAAAATGAGTTCTTTTAACTCAATGAGACTACCTGGATAAATAAAGGGTAAATGGAAAAAAAAAACTAGAATAACAGACGTATACTGGTACAGATATTCACAAATCAACCAGAACATTATGACCGGTAAAGTGAGCAACAACATTACAAAAAGCTGTTTTGCTGGAATAAACTTGACACTGTTGTAATTTTGATATCGGATTCCTCCCATGGCACAAACGCTCTCCTAAAACCAGAGACCCCTTCAGTATGAATTGCTTTCATACTGTTCATACCCATCCTATAAACTTTGTAGTTAGAAGGGGATCTCTTTATTTTGCAGCTACTTCTGGAGAATAGTTGGCAATGGCAAATCAAAATTACAAGAAAATCTGCAGATTATTCTTCTTTCGGCTTTTCCCTCTTCAGGGGTCACCACAGCGAGTCATCCTCCTCCTTCGCACTCTGTCCTCTGCATCCTCTGTCCTCACTCCAAACTCCATGTCCTCTCCAACTGCATCCATAGATCTCCTCTTTGTCTTTTTCCTGGCAGCTGAATTTCTAACATCCTTCTACCAGTATACCCACTGTCCCTCCTCTGGACATGTCCAAACCATCTCAGTCTGGCCTCTCTAACTTTATCTCCCAGTTGTTCAACCTGTGCTGTACCTCTGATGATCTCATTCCTAATCTTATCCATCCTTGTCACTCCTAAGGAGAACCTCAACATCTTCATTTCTGCCACTTCCAGTTCTTTCCTGTTTGTCAATGTCTCCGTCTCCAGAACATACAACACAGCTGGTCTCACCACTGGCCTGTAAACTTTTCCTTTGACCTTTGCTGACACCCTTTTGTCACAAATCACTCCTGAAACTTTTTTCCATCTACTCCATCCTGCCTGGACTCACCTTTTCACCTCTTTACCACACTTCCCATTTTCCTGGACAGTGAACCCCAAGTACTTGAATTCCTGCAACTACTGTAATAAAATCTGCAGATTATACATTGTGGAAAATTTCATTGACTGGATTCAGAGTGTTTGAGACCAGCGAGCCTTGCAGCCACGTTTAACGGCAACAGTTTTTGACAATCATTCCATATTTATGTGTGGACAGCCACACACACACACACACACATTAAAATTTATCGCCCCACCTAGGCAGGTCTGCAGGAGTACACTTTAAGAAAGGCAGATTTGGGCCTTTTTTTTCCCATGTATCATCAACATGGTTTTAGATCTGGACATGCTGTCAGAGGACAACTCCATGCAGGTGTCCAAATACAGATGAGTTGGAGACGATTGATACAAAACCGAGAAGGGTTTGAGGCTTTGACCACTTTCTGACTCTTGAAAGAAAATTTGTCTTGACTTAATGACATTCTGGAGACTCCCTCATGGACGTTGTTTGCCAACTTAATGCCATCAGTCGCATCCCGCTGAGGTGCTGCCAGAAAAGAAAACAGAAGCTTTGGGGAACCGATTTATTAGATGAGTGATTAAACTGAATATTTATTTATTTTTTAAGTGTTGGCTGATTTAAATACAGACATCCAAAATGGCTGTTTTGTTCTCAGTAGTTACCCTCTGTAAAAGCAAATGAAGTCCAGTTGTTTTGTATTGAACACTTTTTGAATTCATCATGTCCTGGATAACTGAGAATCTTCACCAGCCTCTGTAAAAGTATTAAAATTGACTGTCAAAAATCCTTTAATGTCATTGTTGAGTATTTTCAGTAAATTAGACATACTTTAAGGCAGGGGTTCCCAACCGTGGTCCTTGAGGAACACCAGCCTTCATGTTTTAGTTGTTTCTCTGCTCCACCACACCTGATTTTAATTAATCGGTGATTAACAGACTTCTACAGAACATGACAAAGTGCTGTCCAGATGACCTGACTAAAAATTGTTGGATTGTGTACCTGGATTATTGAGCATGGACTTTTTTTTTGGTTTTGAACCAGTTTGACATGACTGTGGACGAGGAAGAGGGACGGCACAAGAGGAGGGGGCGTGCCAAAGACACCATCTTAGCACCAACATAACTGGTTTGTTCCACTTTGGAGTAAGCTGTTTGGGGGAAGAATCAGTTTTGTGTTGTGTGTTTCCTTGACTGATGAAGCCTTCCGGACGGAAGGTGAAACGTTTCAGCAAAAAAAAAAAAAAAAAACTGTCCAGATGACCTGACTAAAAATTGTTGGATGACAAAGTACTGTAATGAGATCACTGAATCAGGTGTGTTAGAGCAGGGAAACAACTAAACCATGCAGGATGGTGTTCCTCAAGGACCAGGGTTGGGAACCCCTGACTTAGGTGTTTTGATTTAGCGCCACTCTTACCGCCTGTTCTTTTCATTTCAGGTGTGTTGAGGCCCTGTGGGTCTATTTTAAGGCTGGTAAGAAGGAGGAGCCCTATGTCACTCTGTCCAGGAAGATCAGCCTGAAGAAGGGCCAACAGACGCCCATGGAGCTAGAAATCGGCCAGACGGAGCGCATGCTGGCCGTCCACAGGAACGCCTTCAAACGCACCGCCGTCATTCAGGCCTTCTTGGGCTCCACGCCTCAACTGACCCTGCAGCTGTACGCCACCATCCAGGAGAAATACGTGCTCCACACGAGACGTAAGAAACACCAACTCTGTTCTGAGGGAATATTCACGTTGGAGGGGGTTTTGGATGCAGGCAGGAGGAAATGGTCGGAGTGCAGGAGCAGGAATATTTGATTTGAACCCATCAGCTGTAAGGCTGGAAACATCGGTTCTTCTCTTCGGCTTGGGTTCACCATTGTAATGCTAGCTGCTCCAGGTTTGATAAGAATCTGCTCTACCCTCTCTGTTTCTGCATCAAATTCACAAACTGCATGCTGGAGTGAACATGTCCATCAGGCTCAGCGGGCGTGACCAATTTGTTCTCGTTTGGCATCATAACTCAGCCGAACACAGACGCAACGTAATTATGACCGTCTGTCACACGTCAGCCGTGTGAGACGCAGGCTGCAAACAGCGCTGGTCCTTGAGAGCTCCGAGTTGTTTACTGGGATGTGGGCAGATTTTCCTTTAAATGCATAAAACTTTATTTTAATGTGGCCAAACTGCACCTGTGCAGAGAGACGCAGCGTTAAGGCAGAGGTACAAAGCTCATTTTGCGAGGGCTTTGTGAATTGTGCACAAAATTCTAAATTGCATTCCCCCAAAACGTTAGTAGATCTGGGAGTCGGGGTGTTGGTTTACTGATAAATGTTATTTTAGATGGTCAGATGGTTCATCACCTTTATTTAACCAGATAAATCTCCATTGAAATCAAGATCTCTTTTCCAAGGGTGACCTGGGTCAGCAGCACGTCATAAAATAAAAATCAAAACAATTAATGATATAGGATAAATACTATATATTATATTATTATATAGTATATTGTGTGAATGTGTTTAAGAATTCACGCTATCGTGATCCATCTTTGTTTCCTTAAGATTTTTGGTGCGATCCTCGTCCTGCAGTTTTCAGGCAATTTCAACAAATCATATCAAAACGTTCAGCTCTTTCAGGACAATCCTGCTATGACTTTTGGTATTGGTGCAACTTTAGTTTTTGAAATATTTAGCCTTTTCTGCCATTTTTTTTTCTCATAGAAAATGAATTGAGCTCATTTTACATCCAAATCTTTAGATCTGTTTACAACCTTTTACTGCTCCTTTCAGCATCTTCTATCTTTTCAGCTACCTTTTTTGGTATTTTTTTTTAGCTAATTTCAGCTTTTTTCAAATTAATAAAAATTTTTTTGTGGTAATGTCTGCTACTTTCAGACTAATTAACTTCTTTATGCTCATTTCAGCTTTTTTTCTGCTAGTTTCTGCTATTTCAGAGACTATTTAGCTGTTTTTATGCTATTTTTTTATCTAATGCCACCTTTTTTTTTATTTTGGCATTTCTGCTTCCTTCTGGTAATTTAAGCTTCTTTCTGCCTTTTCAGCTACTTTTGGCTAATTTAAGCTTTTTTAGCTAATTTCCTAATTTTTGTGCAAATTTCTGCTTATTTAAACCTAATTCAGTAAATATGTGTTGTTTCTGCTTTCTTCTGCTACTTTAGGCTAGTTTTTAATTTCAGCTACATTTCAGCATGTTTTTTTTAGCTAATTTCAGCTGTTTTCAGTAAGTTCTTCTGCAATAAGCATTCACACTGCATTTCTGCAGGAAATGCAATTTATCTAGTTCTATAAATGGTTTTGATTTCAACGTGTTCAACAGTTTAGAGCATCATTCGGCTGTTTTATCCACATTTTGGTCATTAGTTAAATGTTAGATGTGTTAAAGCCTCCTACAATGTTCAAGTAAAGATTTTTATAAAGTTATACCAGATCCTCAGGGTTTTCTTTTTCTTCTTTGAATCTTGATCTGTTTTTCTGCAAATTAATTTCAAAACACAAATTAAAGTTTTGGCCTCAAGGTGGCAGCAGAGGAAGAAATATGGTAAATTTATCCTGAGTTGGAAATGTTTTTAATAATATCAACCAGCATTAACACTTAAAAAAGATTATTTTATCATATATTTTTTTAATATACATTTTGAATGAATTAGCCATTATTGTTTAGTTTTTATTGCTAATAAAAACTAGGATTTCCTGTGCTCCAAAAATAAAACCTTCTTGAAAACAAAACACATAATTTATGGCTGAATTTAATCACTTTAATGACAAATGACATCATAGATCACCAGTTTTACTGAAACTTTTTCAGTATTAGCTGAAGCAAGTTAGCTAATCACAAGTATGTAGTTAATTTTTTTAATCTACTTCTTGCTAATATTTGATGCACAGGGAGTTTCCTTTTTGCTTGAGATAATTTTATTTTAAGAACACGCGATATTGTTGGGTCTTCCCCTGATGTTTCACACACATGCTTCTGTTAATATTCAGGCGTATGTACTGTTTGATATATTTCTACTCGACAAACTACTGTAGTTGGAAAATTTGTGAACTCAAAGGAGGAATCCCTAAACAGATGTGTGCTTGAAGGAAAGGCCTGAAACCTTTCGCCTGAGGACAAAACGGGTTGTAAAGGTTTACTACAGGGGGAAAATGATGCTGAAATCTTTCTGACTCTAAAAATCAGCGCCCTGAAGAGGTCGATCCTGATCCAGTGCACCAGTGATCAGATCAAACTGAACCAGTTCCATGACCTGAGGTCAGAAAGAGGTGAAAATCAAGTTTCTGTTTGTAATACACATGAAGGATGGTAAAATAAAAAAACTTGAGCAGCTGCCTCGTCAGCGTTAAACTGCAGAATAAATGAGATCAGTGGAGCTTTGTTAAGAATCAGCAGGTTTGTTGGCCAACTTGGTCGAAATGAAGACAGTTAACAACTTCAGACAATTATTGTTTAGTTCAGATTTTTATTTATGTAATATCTAAAATACTTATGAGTTCTGGGTCTTTTGATAAATGCTATTTTTGTAGAAATAACTTTTACTTTGAAAGTCTGCTGTACGTTAAAGCGCTGACTGTATCAAATTAAATATTTAGATATTAACTCCGTGTGCTCCTTGTATCCTGATCACTAAAATATGGTTCGAGGGGCCTGACCCAAATAAATAAACCTACAAAAAAAGCCTTTTCATGAAAAGATTCTTAATGAAAATGAAACAACAACTTTGCTCACCGTCATTTACGATTTGGCCTGAATTTTACTTTACCTGCTGTGTAAAGTCGGACCAAATAAAATTGCATATATTATTATTTTTTTAAACATAAAACTGACATCTTAATGTTTTTGAAACAAGGCAGAATTATTAATTTTTGTAGCCATTTTGTTTTGTGCAAAATATTTTAACAAAAAGAGGCATTTTAATAATCCAGCATGCTTAAAGTATGGTAATTATACCATACTTGCTGCCGTACACGTCACACCGCCGTATTCAGTCCACATATGTTTAATAAAGTGGCAAAAAACATAAATACATTGCTTCGCCGTATAAGTTGCATCTATTATGCGTCACCGCTGACCACCCACAAATGTGGGCCGGTGTTGTGCCAAAATTCGATTGGCTGCCAAATGGAGGCCACAGGAGCGTGCATGGGATTTAACAAGATTTACACTTAAAAACAATTACTTGTTTGCTCGAAATTATAGCAAAGGTGTGTCTCAGTTTAACTTTTCTTTAATAAATGCACTTTAATGGTCAAATCAGCTGCATTTCGCCTGGGCGGAGCGGTGAAATGCAGCTGATTTGACATTTGCGCCAAGAATTCCAGAGCGAGACGATGGTGGCTCGGTGTGGCAAGTCAAGCGTCTCATTAATAGTCACTTTTACCTATTAATAAGACACTTGGCTTGCCATTTTACTCGAGGGCCCTCTAGCGGCTGAAAATGGTAGTGTTCAATATTTTCCATGTCAGAATGAACGAAATCATCAGATCTCAGCCAAAAATTGTTATAAATATGGGAAAAAATGTAAACAAGTCACTTCGCCATATAAGTCGCAGGGCATGCTAATTTATGCTAAAAGGTGAGACTTACACGGCAAAAAGTACAGTACTCTTTAGAGAATCTTTATTTATTTTATTTTTCACCTTTATTTAACCGGGCATAAACACTAAGAACAAATTCTTATTTCCAGTGCTGGCTTGGCAGCACCAACAGGCACTTGTAGGGTCAAGGGAAGGGAAACGATACAGTTAGGCAAAACTATAAAATACAGCAGTCAGTAACAAACAAGGAATCACAAATTACATGATGGACGGACGGACGGACGGACGGACGGTCGGTCGGTCCCTCCCTCCCCAAGGTAAAATTTGTCTTGGACATCGTGCGCGCTAACAAAGCTTCTTCCACAATTAAATTCACTACAACCAATAAAATCATGTGAACCCCACAATAAAATATAAAACGTATATTAATAAAAACACTTAATTCAATAAAAACACATCCTTCAATAAAAAACACATACTGCACATTCCCACATACATTCCAGCAAGTACACGACACAACAATGAGACCAGAGATCATAACAAAAACCTATATGCCTCCTTTGTTTAACAATCTTTTTTTTTTTTTTTTTTTTTTTTTTTTTTTTTTTTTTTTTTTTTTTGATGGCCTCCCTTCTCCCCTTACAGCCATCCTCTCCACACCATTATTATGAAATATTTATTATAGTGACTATCTAGTGTAGGTTTTTCCTTTGTTTAACAATCTGATTGATGTTGGGACAAATTAATTTTTATATCTGTTAAGTCTACAAGCAGGGACTCTAAACCGTTTTCCAGATGGTAACGATTCGTGTCTGAATGCTGCAGATCTCTCACCTCTCCGATCTCTCACCTCTCTGATCTCTCACCTCTCTGATCTCTCACCTCTCTGATCTCTCACCTCTCAGCTCTCTCACCTCTCTGATCTCTCACCTCTTAGATCTCACCTCTTTGATCTCTCACCTCTCTGATCTCTCACCTCTCTGATCTCTCACCTCTCAGATCCCTCACCTCAGATCCCTCACCTCAGATCCCTCACCTCTCTGATCTCTCAGATCTCTCATCTCTCAGATCTCTCAGATCTCTCACCTCTCTGATCTCTGACCTCTGACCTCTCAGATCTCTCATCTCTCAGATCTCTCATCTCTGATCTCTCACCTCTCTCACCTCTCTGATCTCTCACCTCTCAGATCTCTCGCCTCTCAGATCTTTCTGATCTCTCACCTCAGATCTCTCACCTCTCTGATCTCTCACCTCTCTGATCTCTCAGCTCTCTCACCTCTCAGATCTCTCAGATCTCTCACCTCTCTGATCTCTCACCTCTTAGATCTCACCTCTTTGATCTCTCACCTCTCTGATCTCTCACCTCTCTGATCTCTCACTTCTCAGATCCCTCACCTCAGATCTCTCACCTCTCTGATCTCTCAGATCTCTCATCTCTCAGATCTCTCACCTCTCTGATCTCTAACCTCTCAGATCTCTCATCTCTCAGATCTCTCAGATCTCTCACTTCTCTGATCTCTGACCTCTCAGATCTCTCATCTCTCAGATCTCTCTGACCTCTCACCTCTCTGATCTCTCATCTCTGATCTCTCAGATCTCTCACCTCTCAGATCTCTCATCTCTGACCTCTCAGATCTCTTGATCTCTCAGATCTCTCACCTCTCAGATCTCTCATCTCTGACCTCTCAGATCTCTGATCTCTCAGATCTCTCACCTCTCTATGTGGCTTTAAACATCTGTTAAGTTCCTGGGAGAAACCAATGCAGACATGTTCTTGTTTTTAGTTTTTTACACCGGCCTACAACCTAGCTGTTTTTTGTTGTTGTTACTTTTCCTTTTAAATACCATTTTATTATCACTTGTTAAAAATAAAAAATAAAAAAATAAACAATTTGTGTGTGTCCTTTATATTGTTGTCTTTGTTGTCCACTGTTGTCATCATTCTTTGTTAAAATCAGGTCTCGTGTAAATGAGCCCCCGAGGCTCAATGAGATTAACCTCTATAAATAAAGGTTGAATGAATCAGGTCAGGAGTTACTTCCTCTTGAATAATCTTCACGTTTATTTACAAATGTTAAATTGTCTCTGGATTCCAGGAGGGAACAAACATCAGCATCTTGATGCGCTTCAAGTTGAATTAATTGTGGATAAAACGGTTAGCATGCCTGTTGCAGTCTCATGCAACATTGTGAGACTTTGCTCTCAGTCCATTTGTTGGGAATTACTCTCAGCCACTACCACACCAAGTTTTAGCTCAGTATCTGGAAAATTGGCATAAAAATAACTATTTTTGTGTTTTCTAAGGCCAGTTGGCTTTGGCGACCATCTTAAATTGGATTGTCTTCAAAAGTAAATCAGTTGTAGTTGAACATCCAGTGGTTATTTCCTGAAAGTTTCTTTAAGATTAGTCCGTTGGTTCATGAGATATTTTTCTAACAGACACGTGCAAAAACAGTATCCTTTGCCTTTTGTTGGCGGGTGATAATGTTTAGCTGTTTGCTAAAAACCTTCTGTTTGTGTTTACAGTGGCTCTGATGATCATCACCCTCATCTCCATCACCTACGGAGCGCTCGTGTGCAACGTTCTGGCCATCCAGATCAAATACGACGACTACAAGGTGCGTCTGCGCCCTGCCGCCTACCTGTGCATGGTTGTGTGGCGGGGTCTGGAGATCGCCACCCGGATCACGACTCTGGTTCTGTTCAGCACGGCGCTCACTTACTGGGTGATCCTCATCGGCGGGCTCAACCTGCTCTTCTTCTTCTTCATCCCCTGGGTGGAGTTCTGGGCCAAGGGCGGCTCGTTGACCGACGACGTGGAGAAGAACTTCTCGAAGCTGGGCACCGCGGTGGTGCTGTGCATGTTCACGCTGCTGTACGCCTGCATCAACGTGTTCTGCTGGTCGGCGGTGCAGCTCGACCTGACCCACCGGGAGCTCATCGAGAGGAAGCAGGTCTGGGGCGGCCTGGCTAAGTACTACTCGGCGCGCTTTGTGGAGAACCTCCTCCTCATCACGCTCTGGTACTTCTTCAAGTCGGACTTCTACGAGTACGTGTGCGCGCCGCTGCTGGCGGTGCAGCTGCTGATCTGCTACAGCCTGGCCGTGCTCTTCATGCTGCTCTTCTACCAGTTCTGCCACCCCTGCAGGCGCCTCTTCAAGTACAACGTCCACGACTGTCTGCGCTGCGTCTGCTGCCGCAAAGGGAGGCGCGGAGCGGGGGGCGGGCGGGCCAACCTGCCGCCTTCCTACTCCACAGCTGCCACCATGGTTCTGACTTCAGAGGAGCCGCTGGGGCTGCTGGACCCTCAGAACTCGCATCCTCCCAACAGTCAGCCGCAGGATCTAGAGACAGATTGTTAAAGACACGATACAATGAAAGATGAGGCATGATATTAAATTACAGAACAAACTGAATATTTCCCTCAAGTGAACAAAACGACTCATTTTTCATCTCCTGACGTCTTTATTGAGGACTCTCACACATACTGGGGGGCGGGGCTAACCAAAGAATGTAACGCGTCCAGGTATGCTGCGACGCACAATGGCGTCTGTTGAGAGAGCAACACTGAGCCAGGTGTGAGGAGGAAAATGTGCCAAGTGTGTCTGAAATGAGTGGGACTCTCCCAGTTTACCTCTCAGGGTTTTCCCGTCTGCACACGTTCACACTCAGCCTTTAAAGACAAATATCACTGCAGGAAATAACTAAACGGATTTATTTGCTTCCCTCTTGTGCCCATTTATTGTGATAAATGCCTTTTGTTGTTTACTGTCCATTTGCCTTGAACTGGGGGGGTGGGGGGGGGATTGGGTTGTGAAAGAACAAAACAAAAATTGTGAGGAGATGGAGAGATCGTTTAAAAGGGACTTTGAATATCTGTGTGTCATCCAGGATTAATCTAAATATTGTTGCTTTGAGACGACTGGCACTAAATGAGTCTCTGCAAGTTCTTCAATGTCTGTTTTTATGCTCTGTTCAATTTCAGTGCCTTCACTAATATTGGACTACTTGAATCTTAAATAAAGTGAGAAAACCTGACATCCTCTGTCTGTTTTTAAACAATGAAATGTTGTATCACTTTTCATCCCAACAAATTGAAAGTTCATGGGCGATGTGACTGATACTTCCTCGTTCCTACGTCTCAAAGGTTTGTCTAACTTCAGGTTTGTCTAACTTCAGGTTTGTCTAACTTCAGGTTTGTCTAACTTCAGGTTTGTCTAACTTCAGGTTTGTCTAACTTCAGGTTTGTCTAACTTCAGGTT